TATTATGGAAGTTATTCATTCATTTTCAGTTTGCAAATGGGGTATATATAGATTGAATATTACATTACGATAGTTATTTGAAAAAGAAAGAGAGAATAATAAATTGGATTTTGTAAATGTTAAAAATTTCTCTGAACTAATTTATTAGAACTAGTACGAAATTGGATAAAGAATGGATTTTTTGTTATCATAAAACTCCGATTTATAGTAATGAAAGAAATAGAATATTATTTAGATATCAATATGTTTCGTTTCATCGCCCTCTTCTGTCTTGTACACGTTTCCTGTAAGTCAAATTTTGATGTTTGATTTTTCTAATCGTTTTTATTTATTACTTCATTAGTTGGTACTATCATTCGTGGTCGAGTTTTAGTCAATGGTGATGCCAATATAGTCGATATGGTTCCTTCTGGTTCTCAACTTATTGTTCGACTAGAAGATACATCAATAGCTAATGCTTCATCGATCGTAATCAAACAAACAGAAATCTCAAATATAGTTGCTTTTCCATTCTATTATCAAATTCAAGTCCCAAATAATATTTCATCAGCATTGTCCTATTCATTGTCAGCACTTATCAAAAAAGGAGATGTACTTGTATATGTTAATGAACAACATATACCTGTTAAAATTGGTACTGAAAGTCTCATTACAATTGATATTCCAGTTATGTTTATTGGAGAAGGTTAGTATTTTTGTTTCGCGTAATACAAACAACATATCTAAATTATTATCAATAGATAGACCCCTGAAACCATCATTGAATAATATGAAGCAATCATCATGGCCAGAATTAGTTGGACGTGAAGGTACATATGCTGTACAATATATTAAAGAAAAAACCGGTAAATATATTTTTCATTTATATGAGAAAATGTTTTTTTGTTTTGTTTTATTTATCGTTTAGGTTTTACAAATGTATTTACTGTTCTTGAAGGTTCATTGGTCACTATGGACTATCGAACTGATCGTGTACGAGTTTTTGTCAACAAAAAGGGCATTGTTATTCAACCCCCTTATATTACTTAAATTATTGATCGATGATTTTGTTTTTTCTTAAGAAGCATCCTTTTCGAAATAAATTATTTATGAAATCATAATAAAGGTAGTATATAATGTTGAGATCTGTTGATAGACTAGACTTAGCTTTAGTCTTCTATTATGTCCCCTAAAAAGTTATATTTTTCGCCAGCCTTTCCAACAAATGTTTGTTTCAATTCAATTTTGTTCTACGTAATCGTTATAAAAACAGTATTTTACTTATTTGACATGTGTATGATGAGATAGTAACAAATTTTATTCTGTGAAAAAAAGAGTCTATCATTGATAATAAATATTCTTAGAATATTAAAGGAAACGTACCCGAACACCTTGTTAAAATGTTCACTAATAGTTGTTTTTCTAAAAAATAAGATCTGCCATTGAACAAATGTTAACTTCTCAATAACTAAATAGCTCAGAAGAAGAATTAACTTGTTTTATCAAACTCAATTAAATTTATTGTTCTTGTTTATTTTTGACTAGTATTAATGGACTCTGTTCACATCAAAATCTGCTAATAGCATATTTATAAGTCTCAAGCCAACGTCAATGAATACATTTGTATTAAGAATAAGCAATTAATAAAGAAAGAGTAGTTGGATACACATTTTGTGTTTTCTTCTTGGTCTTTTTTTAAAAATTGACTTCAGGTTTTATTGAGAATAGAAATGCATTCTGAGTCTCATGAGAAATAGTTACAAAAAACCCATGCGTATTAGAGACGAAAACCAAATCGAATTGTCGAATGATCTTATTCGATTGAATTTGTCTGAGGCGAACTGAATCCGGTCGAAGATGTTGCCGAATTAAGATTTTCTTATTCGTTTCTGTCTTGAGCGTATATTCATGAGTTCACGTGTTTTTCAATTATGAAAGAATCCTTTGTGATGAATATGTTTCAGAATTTCTAGAAATCCCAGATAATGAGGCTTTTTAATTATTCGGCAATTAAGTTTCACCTAATATGGTATTATTTTATAAAGATCTCTTCATGCGTTACATCCACGGTTCTACACAGAGTCCATCATAACCCACGGACATGAGAAGTTTTTTTGTATAGAGAACCGTAAAAATTCCTTCGGAATATGCTGCAAAAGACCCCTAAAAAGATTCCATGATATGTGTTCTATAAAGAAATACATTCTTTACTAAATAGTTGTTTCCTATTCATCGTTTCGCAAGACTTTTTTCACTTCGAACTGATGCATCATTTTCATGAATGAAGCAAAATATTGTTCATACTGATCTAAGATACAATTATGGACTTAAATACTAAAAAAGTTAATAAACTCCCGAAATTATTTGTAAAAAAAATCGATTTTGTCAGGGGGGTCTTCTGATATGCCTTTTGCTTCATTTATCCAAGGGGGATCTTCTGATATAGGGGGGTCTTCTAATCTGTCGAGGGCTTTACTATATTGATATCGTTGATCAGATCAGTCAAAAGAACGAATTATCATATTATGGCGTTAATCCAAAATCACTGTATTTATCTTTTTTTAGCCGATAATTCCGTATGAGTTATAGAAAAGTTTTGTTTGTATTGTAAAAATTTGATGAGATTTTATTACAAACGAAGTATGTACTTTTAGTTCAATTGAATGCACTTTTAAATTCATGATCTTCAGTTTTTGAAACAAACGTGTTTTTAGTAAGAAAAAAACGAATTTTACTTAGTTAAAGATTACAACAATCTATCTAAACTATCATATAAAAATCTTTTGTATTAATATGACAAATATTAATGGTATTGCGTAATGATAGAAACTACTGAAAGTCATCAACAATCAGTTTTTTTTTCTTTATTGATAGTTGCCTTGATCGATTATTTGGGTACAAGTCAGATAATTCTGTATTAAGACAAAGTCCAAGTGAAATGGTCATGTGAATACTCCCTTATGTCGCTTTAAAAACGACGATGTATCAGACGAAAGGCCATAGTATATCAAAATGTCAATATTGAGTTTGTCTTATTTAAAAAGAAGTAACGTTCTGATGGAAAAATAGTGGTTAATTGTGATGGAGCTAAATACGAAGCAATTCAACGAACGTGGGTGTGGGTGTGGGTGCGGATGTGGGTGTGTGGGTGTGGGTGTGGGTGTGGATGTGTGGGTGTGGGTGTGGGTGTGGGTGTGTGGGTGGGTGTGGGTATCGGTATGCATTCTCTTAACTCACACCCACACCCACACCCACACCCGTCCCCACACTCACACCCACACCCCACAACCACACCTACACCCACACCCACATCCTATCATCCGTGCAAAATTTTACGAATGTTTGCTAGCTTCGAATATTTATTGAATATATTTCTTCAAGATCCTCAAAAATGCGGAGATACGAAAATTCTCAAGGTGGAATGTATATGCCGAACATATATTTTGTATACAGAGTACTACGGCAAGCTTCTTGAATATTTTGTCACCACGTTGGACCCTTGCTGTTAGAAACATTGACCGACATTCACACTTCTTATAACAAACTATAGAAACGGAAGTGTGTAGTATTCGTTGCGAAGCTCGTTATCATCATCCAAGGGATTTTTATTTTATGAGGAAAACTGATCTCATTCTGCAAAATTACTACCGATATTATTTTTCATGTCATTGACAAAGAGTTTTTATTTGTCACACTCAATAACACTGATAAATTACCTTAAAATATTTTTCATATAGATAAACTATTTTATGGATTGATATTAGTTGAATTGTATGTGGATAGCTGAAATATAAACAGTAAATTAGTAGGTTGCAATGAGAATAATAATTCTTAATAAGATCTCAAAGAAAAAAGACATAATACAAAGAAAGGAAAGCAGAAAAAGAATGGAAAAGAAGAAACTACAATAGTTGTGCGTGACTGAGAAACATAAGGCGACGACGAAACAGAATCAAATCAGCAAAAAAGTAAAACAGTCTTTTTTAATAACAGATTTGGAATTGTAATGTAAACAGACATCAATTGGATATTATACTACATAAAAGAGTTTGTTTATTTGTTTGACCATGGAAGAATCAATGATTAATATCTTCTCACTGAATAAGATTGATAAAATTCCTCTGTTGTTCATTCGCTTTCATGTCAATATGACATTTTTGACAGAAATGAAGATTTGAAATAACAAAATATGTTTTATTTCTCATCATGAAATCAGGCTGTGGAAGTGGGTGTGCGGTGTACCTTCTTTCCATCCACACCCACACCAGCACCCACACCAGCACCCACAATCACACCCACTCACCCACAGCCCACACCCACATCCAAATTTGGAAATGATCAATTAATACCTCCCACGTCACTCATTTTTCATCAAAACCGCCAGTTGGCCGCTGCTCCTGAGTAAACCCGGTGGTTCGAGCAGTTCACTCATTTTTCATCACTTTTTGATTGATTTTTCTATAAAATTCATATCATGTCTTGAGAAAAGTCGATTTAATTATGTTATAACATATTATATCAGATGATGCTAGAATTTTCTCTATTGACTAATCCTCTAACTAATGATTAATTTTATGGCACCATCTTTAATAAATATCCGAATTCGTAAACTAACCGAAAATAGTTGATGTGGGTGGTGCCATCGGCTTGAGCGCGCTCACAAATAGGGTGTGGGTGTTAGGAAGAGAATGATGCCCATCGCCACCCCCACACCCTCTTTCAGATGATACTTTTTAACTGACAGGATAGAAATATTTTGTATTTATAACTAAAGAAAACTTTTATTTTGAAATAAATAGTAATAAAAAGTTAAGAAAAAAATCTCCCACCATTGACTAAAATACTCTGTCCAGTAATGTAGTCAGAATTTTTGCTTGCAAGAAATGAAACTAAGCTTGCGACATCATCTGGATCTCCTATGCGACCAAGTGGAATAGCTTTGACAAAATCTTCAATAACATCATCTTTTGTCTTCCCATGAAATTTTGCCAATCCTTCACAAAACGTGTCACCAATCGATGTCATAATGATGCCTGATAAAATTTCTTAGATTTAATATTTAAAAGCTGTAAAAGTATACCTGGACAATAAGCATTGACTGTAATATTATATGGAGCCCATTCTATAGCAGCAGCTTGTGTTAAACCTCGTACACCCCACTTTGTAGCAGAATAAGCACCGATCGTTGGAGTTGGTCTATATCCAGCATTACTGCAAGCACCAATGATTTTTCCTCCTGTACCTTGTTTAATCATGATTTTAGCTGCTTCTTTGTAACAAAGAAATACACCACGCATGTTTACTGCAAAAAGTCTATCCCAATCTTCTACAGTTGTATCTAAGAGCAATTTCGCATTACAAATTCCTGCATTTGCGACTACTACCTGTAGAATGAATCATAACAGAAAAAAATCAAAGCAATGAAAAAGAGTGAAAAATACATACATCTAAACTTCCTAATTTTTGCGCAACTTCTTGCATCATTTTTTCAACCGATTCACTTATAGAAACATCAGCAATAATAGAGATTGATTTTCGACCAATTTGTTCGATTTCTTGTTGAACTTTTTGAAGTTCAGAGGAATTAGCTTCTATATCATTAACAGCAACATTGAGACCATCTTTAGCAAGACGAAGAGCAATTGCACATCCTATTCCTTGAGCAGCACCAGTCACCAAGCCAGTACGAATCATGTTCAATTATAATCAATAAAAATAAAACAGTTGGTTACTTAAATAAATCTCTTCTTGGTTTTTCTATAATGTTCTTTTTCGTGATGTTTCGGGAAATAATACTATCCTCTTTAAATTTTATTACTAAAAATAATATGTTCCAGGCTACACATACACTTTAGTTTTTTCTCTTTTTTCTGTTTCTTATCTATAGCTGTTATGATTTGACGGCGAGTTGATAAGAAGATAGTACCTCGTAGGAGAAATTTTCTCTTCTTATCTTGCTTCGATCCATTTTCATAATGTAACAAGAATAGAAGAGAAAAAGAAAAAAAGCTAAGGTATATGTGTATTAGTGTAGTGCAGTTCATTTTTCACCAATAAAATTTGAAGAGGATAATATCGTCTGCCGAACCGCCACGAAAAAGCAAAATAATATTCTAAAAGAAGCAAAAATAGATTAATTCAAGTAACTAATAATTAATATGATTTTCCTCGATAAAAAGTGTTCATGCAAAAAAATGACTCTTTTAATCCTTTTTTCGCCTTACATATCTTATTGCTCACATACCCTGCGCATGCTTATATGTAACACATCAATACAGAAAAAAGAAAAAAAATCAATCATGCGAAACAAACGATTAGTTACACAATTAGAAGAGAAATGAATAAAAGAATCACGCACTCCATTCTATCTATCTTGTTTCATTAAACTTGCAAAGTGTTCTGTCTTTTTTTTATTCTGTTTTAAAGTATGTCTATGCACATTTCTAGGTTCCTTGCTTGATTGGTGCTTGTTCCCATTTCAGCATCAATCGTGCGGGCAAGTATTCACAATTAATATCGTAGTGCGTAGAATAATGTTAACGAATGTCTTTATAGGAATTCATCTATCGCACAGTTCTTCGTTTGCTGTTAGCAATATTAGTGAGATAAATTTTAACTATATGTCTCACTGAAAATGTTGATTATCTAATGGATAAATTCGTAGGGTTTCTACCACTTTTGTAGAAATACCTTTTCAATGTTGATAATCTAGAACAACGTACCATATCATCGCCGAAAATGATCTGAGGTAACAATAAAAATTTTTTTAGACGTATAAAGAATGGACATCCAGATCATTTTGTCAGGAACAACTCAACATATATATGTCACAGGCAAAATTGATTTTATATTAGGCACATAATTTTAGTTGCACTTTTTCTTTTTATTTAGAAATGATTTCTAATTATCATTTGTATTCAGAAATTTCGACAGATCACTTGATTGTTTCATTAATGAGCATATCAATAATCTTTGCGCAGATATAACAGATACAAGATTTTACACATAAAAGAAATTTTTGACAGACTTGAAATTATTTATTTATTTAATTTTTCTTTTTTCGCAATAGTATATTTTTAGACCGACTGAAAATAAGAAAATCTTCTTCATATCAGAAATTATTTGTGAATAGAGTGCTTAATATAGTGTGTCTATTAGTTACCATCATATGGTATCAGTTGTTTGATGGTTATCTCTTGTTTTTCTATATTACAAATGAAATGTAACTGACCATCAATAAAGTTATTGCTAAGAAAATAACAATTGATATTTAGCTTTAATTGTTACTATCTTAATAAAATAAATAAATAAACTATTCTCAAACCATATATAAAAGTATATCATTGATTTTTTTTCTCTTCCTTCTCTTAGTTTTTTTGGTGACGTAATATTTGAAGAGACAAACAATGAACATTAAAAACGTTTATGACATCACTATGTTGAACATAAGTTATTTCTAGTTGCTGCAAAACGATGAAAAGCTTTGATTGATTACGATTATCGTATACGAAACTAAGAGTAATTTGTAAGTAGATGTTTCAATCAACTGTATTTGTAAATACATCGGTTTGATTTTTAAATTTATATTCAAGTCATCGAAATGAATCGTGTATCATCATTTGAAGATTTATCTCGAAAAGAATTTTACAAAGAAGCATATGAGTATATTCAATTTAAAATTAGGAAATTTCGAGAAAAAGCAGTTATAACACAGGTCATGTATGATAAAATCATTGAATGTCTTACGAATAAATGCTTATCTGATTGTAATGCATGTTTTCTGTCTTAATGTTGGACATCATTTATCATGTAAAATACTGGGTCAACATTTTTACTGTGCGATATTAAACCTAAAAAACCAGTATTTTTATACGAATCTATTTATAATGTTTATAAACGTACTCATATTGATACAGCTCGTGCAGGATGTGATAAATGCTTAGATTATTTATCAATGAACTATAGTTCGTATAGTCCTGGGCTTTTGCAAATATTTATTAAAAATTGTTCTTCGTGTCAAAAAAAGAAAGCCTATAGTAAAACCTGTGTTATCAAAACCAATAGTTGCATTAGGTAGGCTGTATTACCAGGATTCAGGAGTTTTAATATAATAGTAAGGAACACACCGGTATCTTGTTACTAAATTATTTAAAAAATGATTGTTAGTTTTATATTTGTGTATATAATAAATCACTTTATTGATATAAAAGATTGTTTCTTATATGCGGTTGCTATTTTTAAGTTAGAATTCATGACATGCGTTCAAATGGGTCTTATAGATATGACAACCCGATCAGATACCATATCTGATGGAAAAATTTATCGTTGCATCTTACAAGTGAAAGATCATTTTACAAAATTCTGTTGGGTCAAGCCATTACAATATCAAGAAGCATGTGAAGTCTATAATTGTATAAGTGAAATATTTTTCATGTTTGGAGCTTCGGACATTCTTCAATTTGATAATGGACGTGAATTCGTCAATGAATTGATAAGGGTGTGGATGTGGATGCAGAAGACAAAGCTAAACACCCACACTCACACTCACCTACACCCGTCATGTGATATTATTATATCCCTTACATTGGAGACATTACGCTGACATTTATGTTTTGACATATGTATACAAATAAAAATTAATTAGGTAAATATTCGAAAATCTTTAGCATAATAGTACTTGAGTGTAAAAAAATGAACTTTTCTATAAGTAATTTCAACTTTTTTCTTATTAAACAAAAGCAATAGTGTACTCAAAATATTTGCTTCCTTAATTCTTGTCTATGTAATTCAAAAAGAAATCTCAGTATCTACTCATGATCGGTTCTTAATCAGTTTTAATTGATATATTATATAACAAACAATAGATGTTCGATTTGATTTAATATCTTTTAGAGAATAATTCTTTTTCAAATGTGAGTGTGTGGGAGTGGGGTGGGTGTGGGTAGGTGTGGGTGTGGGTGTGGGGTGTGGGTGGGTGGGTGTGCGTGTGCGTGTGCGTGTGCGTGTCCTTTACTTTGTAAATTTACACCCACACCCACCCACTCCACACTCACACCCACCCACCCCACACCCACACCCACACCCACCCACCCCACACCCACACCCACACTCACCCTGAATCGTACTGATTGGGATCAATATTTGTCACCAACAATTTATGCTTACAATATTGGTCAACATCGAACAGCTAAATATGCTCCATATCAATTATTATATGGAAAACACCCTACTTTACCATTTGCTCAACCCCAACCTATGTTACAATTCATAAGATCAAATGATTATTATAATCGATTTCGCAAATATCGTTCATTTATCATCCAACAAGCTCGTGGTGTGAAGATTTTTTCTATTCAAATAAAACGGTTCCATATTTTTCGATTTCGAATTTGGAACCGTTGTATTTTAATAGAAAAAATCTTCATACGAAGAAGTTTTTTTTTTGTGTTTCTAAATCTATGGCATTGAAGAGAAAACATTTCTATACAAAAATATATAGTCGAATAACATAATAACGAAACGACTTATACTTCTTTGAATCGTTTCAGAAAATTATTTGGGAATAGTTGCAGGACTCTAGTTCATAATTGCAAGTTCAATTGTATAATACACTCATCATAATACGAACGTGTAGTTTGAATTACACTGGGGTTACAAAAAAAAGTTACATTTTAAGAGCAGGTCGATTCATTATAACAAATGTTTGTCAAGGATGAAATAATGATTGGTAATAATCGATATTGTATACACACTTATCTATATGTAATTAAGTCGAAACGAAAATATGGATGATTTATTATAAAATAAAGTATTCAATGACAAAGGAAAAGTCTACACTTTTTATGTGTTTATATTTTTTTTCTCTTCAATCGATAATCGTCTTTTTTTGTTTTTAATGTTTGATAACAAATAACAAGCGACATTAATCACATTTATGTTCTTTTATTGACGTGTTTTTCGAAAACAATACATTTGATTAAATAATACTGATTATTCACTCTTGTTGTATATAAGCAACATACATTGGTATTATTCTGTATCCTTATTTTATTTTAGCTTCAATACAAAAACAAACAATCGCAACAATATGTTTTGGTTTATAACCATAGGATTACTTTTATTAATCCATACATCTTTAGGATGTAGTCCACCTTCATTTTCAAGTTTATCTGTTGAACAAAATTTCAATTTATACAAATTTCTTGGTTTTTGGTACGAAATAAATTTTTATGAGGCCGGTGTGGATCCAGCTGAATCATATACAGATTTTATTCAATTATTTCAATTAGAAAATGATGTTACTAAGCATCTTCTCGCTTTCTCTAAAGCAAGAGCACCTAATCAACCAAATTGTTTGTCACCTACTACATGGTCAATTTATGCAAATAATGGTGCAAAAATGATTTTTGAAAAACTAGATGTTACTAGTACAACAATTCTTGATCAACCTTTATATGTATTAAAAACTGATTATGATCATTATGCATTAACTTATAGATGTCTAACACCAAATTATAATTTAAATCAACCATGTCAACAGCGGGCATTAAACTTATATAGTCGAAAACCATTTTTAGAAAGAAAATATTTAGTTCAACTTGAACGTTATATTCTAAATGTCTTATGCTTTAATTCAACTGATATTATAAGAACTCCATTTCGCAAACCATTTTGTTATCCAATAGATGAGTCAG